CGGACGCCTGCAGTGGGGCGTGGCCTAACTCGGCCCCCTCCCACTCCCTTAGCCTTCAGAGCGGCGCTGGGCAACACAGCTGTCCAGAATTCACAAACAGCAAAGGAGTGAGCGCTAATTACCAAGGCAAGTCGAGGTCCCAGCTCTCCTGAGCTTACTTTAATTGGATACCAAATACACAAAGCTATGAGGATGATTGTTTCTTTTCAGAAATAATATATTGTTAAACATAAGAGTTACCATTTCACCCAGAAATGCCACTCCTAAGCATATCCCCAGGAGCTCTGGAGGCATTTGACTGCTAACCAGAAGGCTGGAGGTTCAAACCCACCAGCCACTCCTCAGAAGGAAGGTTGGGCAATCTACTTCCATAGTGATACCCCCTCGGAAACCCAAGGAGGGGTCACTGTGAGTCAGATCTGACTCGAAGGCAGTGAGTTTGGTTTTTTTTGGTTTACATATATACCCAAAAGAAATGAAAATACACATGCACACAAGAACCCATACACAAATGTTTACCACAGAGCTATTCACAGTAGTCAAACCTAAAGTCCATCAGCTGATGAGTGGATAAACAAATGTGGTGTATCCATACAATGGATAATTATTCAACCATAAAAAGGAATGATGTGTTGATGCATGTTCTAAGGTGGATGAACCTTGAAAACATGCTGCTGATGTACAATTATTTATGGTAAGTGAAAAAAAGTGAGTCTCGAAGACTACATAGTGTATGACTCCATTTATATTAAAAGTCCAGAGCAGGCAAATAGAGAGAGACAGGACGTGGATTAGTGGTTGCCTAGGGCTGGGGGTATGGGGTGTGATAGCTAAAGAATACTGGGTTTTTTTGCGTGATGAAAATGTTCTGGAATTAGGCAGTGGTGAGAGTTTGCACAAGGAACCCTGGAGGTGCAGTGTTTAAAGCTCCTGACTGCTAATCAAAAGGCAGGTAGTTCAAACCCACCCGCCACTCCATGGGAGAAAGATGTGGCAGTCTGCTTCCATAGAGATTACAGCCTTGGAAACTCTGTGGGGCAGGTCTGCTCTGTCCTAGAGAGTCACTATGAGTCAAAATGAACTCAACAGCAACGGGTTTGGTTTTGGTTTGCATGGTTGCTTAACCTTGTGAATACACTGAAAACCACCAAATTGTACACTTTAAATGGGCAGATTGTGGCATGTAAATTATATCTCAGTAAAGCAGTTAAAAAACAATATGCTGAATACATACAATTTGGCATTTAAATCCCAGAACTGGGTGTCATCTGTTATCCAAGGATTGCTGGGGAGGCACCCTGACATGATGGCATCGTTGGAAGAAAACTGCTCACTGTACTTGACAATCCTGGAAAGCAAATGGAAAATGATTTCCTAGAAGTTCAACACCCAAGGGACTAAATCAATTGTCAGGTTGATTGAACAACCTGTTCTTTCCCGTTATCGAGTCGGTCACAATTGTTATTACTGTCTTCTTAGAAACATGCTCTAACATCCCTTGAGCTTGGCAGTATTTGACAAGATCTGTCCTTATGCTAGGAGCACTGGTGGTGCCCTGGTTAAGTGTTTGGCTGCTAACGAAAAGGTCAGCGGTTCCAATCTCCCAGCCACTCTGCAGGAAGAAGAAGCAGCAATCTCCTTTCATAAATAAAGATTACAGCCTTAGAAACTCTGTGGGGCAGTTCTACTCTGTCCTACAGGATCCTTTCAGTCGGAATCGACTCTACAGCAGTGAGTTTGGGTTTGGATCCTTATTCTGCTTGTGCAACTAAAACGTTATCTCCCATCCAGTCCCTCTGCAATTTCTCTGAACATATTTCATTAAAATATGGCCTTTTTTGGGGGAGCTCTGGTAGCATAGTGCCTAAGGCACTTGACTGCTAACCAGAAGGCTGGCGGTTCAAACCCACCAGCCACTCCTTGGAAGGAAGATGGGGCAATCTACTTCCGTGTTGATACTGCCTCGAAAAGCCAAGGAGGGGGTCTCTGAGTCGGGTCCGACTCGACAGCACATAACAACAACAACAACATGGCCTTTTTTACATTTTACCATGAGTTTTTAAAATTCAAAACTGTGTCTCTCAAATAACGTTTGAATCTAAGGTCGCCTGGAAGTTCAATAAATCAAACACAGATTTCCAATTTATCCTAACTGGCTTTTAAATCAAAGATTGACAATGGACATTTTGCAGTACACTGGGCCAGTGGACATAGCCATCCATCCCTAATAAACAGAGTGGCTGGTGATAGAAGCAAAGGCTGTATCTTAGGTCCATGTAGGATCTAATCTATGGACTCTTCCCACCTTCCCCACCCACTCATAGGTAAACTCCAAGAAAGATGACAGATTTGTCTGGCACCTCACCCACCTCTGATTCTGCCTAACCCGAGAGGAGACCTGTTGACTTGTTCTAAGGGAAAACTAGAAACAAAGTACACAGGAGCTGGGTTTGCCTTTCAGATCTCAAGTCAGTCCAAGACTCATCACATTTGCCTTAAAGCAAAAGCTCTCTTCTTGCCTGCTTATTGCTCAGCCCTCAGCATTGCCAAAAAATCAAGGACATACCCTCCAAGGGACACCGAGGACTTCACCGTGGACCTCATCAAAGCCTGTTGGTAATACATGATCTGGAAGGGACACAGTTGTTAGAAAATGTCCAACTTCCCCACCCCTGAGTGTCCCTGACCAAAATTAAAGGCCATTTCTCCATCACAGTACTCCATCCCATCCCCTCAAGCCAGCACCTTCATACCAACAGACCTGTGTAGATAGCTGACCCCACACGCTAAAGTAGTGGCCTCCTTAACTCATCATGTGATTGTCTGGGAAAGATACCAGCTGAAAACAAATGGTGTCATGAGCATTAAGGAGTCCCTGGGTGGTCACCAGTTAACATGCTCAGCTGCTGACCCCAAAGCTGGAGGTTTGAGTGCACCCAGAGGCACTCTGGAAGAAAGGCCTGGTGATTTAGTTCCAAAAAAATCATCCATTGAAAACCCTACGGAGCACAGTTCCCCTCTAACACATATGGACAGAATCGACTCAACGGGAAGTGGCAAACAATGAGGATTAAACCAAGACATGGGGACAAATGCTTGGCTTTTCCTTCTTGTGCCTGTGAGTGACAGAGGAGAGTGGGCCTCACCACAGGTGATGTCCTGGCTCTGCAGCCTCTACAGCAGCAAGCCATCCCCCTCCTCAACCCTCTTACCCCTGGTCAGGTACCCACTCACATATCCCACCTCCACAGCCCACATTCCCCGCGTTCCATCTGAGCACCCAGATCCAAGATGTCCCAAAACAGGAACAGGTCCTTCGCCACCCTGGACAGACTCTGCAAAACCCTGTAGTTGTAGCAGCAGAGGCCAGGGCAGGAACAGGACACGTCCCATCCCCAGTGGCCGTCCCTCCGATCTGTGTCCTGTAGGGGAGCTTTCTGTCTTGGGTGTCAGCATCAGCCCCATTCAGATCCTACAAAGATGGTTTATCATTCTGTGCTGTCCATCGGTTTGGAAACAATTGTTTGACTATTTCACATGGTTTTCATGTCATTGCAGAATGCAGAGCCTCAAGCCCAAGTCTATATCATTTGTTAGCAGATTTAGAAGGAGACTTGGCTGGATTGGGGGGGATTAATTACCTCTTTTTTGACAGCAGTGATTGTTTGTTTCTGTAAAACAAAGAAACAAAAAACATTAAACAGTTTTCATTGAATCACTACCATTCAAATATCCATTTGAAAAATAATAATCCTTCCCTATGAGGAGATTGTCCATCTTTTTCTACTGAAAAGATGTCCCCTCTCCACAACCAGTTTCCCCTTCTTCTGCCCAGTCAGTGGAGGATGATACCAACCCAGAGACTGATGACGGAAACCACACTGATGATCCCCAATATAAAGGGGATTGCCCAATATAAAGTACTGTTTTAGCAGACACACATTTCAGGTAGAAAAGGATCCTGGGTCCAGAGTGGATTTGTGTTCAAATCCATAGCTTCACACTATCTTGCTAAATGCCAAGGTGAATCAAAGACTAAGTTTGGGGCTCATCTCACTTGGCCAGAATGCCTGTAAAATCGTCTTAAATGGAACGAAAGACAACGACAACGGGAAGATTAGTGGGGAGCTTGAGTGTTTGCTGCTTCTCTCACAGAGGGGCGGGCGGCTATGAATGAATGAATGAGTGGATGGTGAGAGTCATTCCTCACATAGTCATAACCAACTGACTGATACCACAAGTTGAAAGAAAAAAGCCATGTTGCCGAAAACAAAGCACATCATTTAAAAATTCAAGGCCAGCCTCCGCTTCCAATGGAGTCCAGGGGCTGAGTGCAACGTGGAAGGTCAAGCTCATACTGGGATGAGCTGCGGAGCATTCTTCCTTGAACCCTTGCGGTTATGGCTCAGAAAGGGTAGTTCCAAGAGGGACTCCAAGTTTAGGCTCTTAGAGGCTGCTGGCATACATTATACAAAGAGTCACACAAATAAATACGTAATTACAGCTGTGGTAAGTGCTGCAGAGGAGTCAGGATGCGTGACGATCTGAAACAGGGAGACTTGTCTGAGCTTTGTCTTTCTGAGATTATCATGCCCCTCTTCCCCCAGAAAGATCTCCTGTGAAAAGCAGTCACACAAAAGCAATCCAACGGAGCAAAGGAGGCCCACTTACAACACACAGACCTGGAATCCAGTTGCTCAGTATCGCGTATCTGCTCCACGCAGCTCTCTGGGGTCGGGCACAGTGGTGATTCCAGTCTATTTTCTTAGGTTTGATCGTGTCCAGGGGCTGCTTGGTGTTCTTATGCTCCAAACCGAGCATCTTCATTCCTGATGGCAGTACGCATGCAAGCAGTCCCCAGGAGGCACAGCGATTACTGTGCATGTCTGCTAACCATGAGGCTAGAAAGGAAGGCCTGACAATCGACTGGAAATCAACCCTACTCTGACACCCAAGGGTCGCCATGAGTTGGAACTGACATGGTGGCGACCAGTTGGTCTGATAAATTGGCATCTTCAGGCTGCTCAATGCGACCAAGCCTTCACTTGGAATAGAGTCTGAAGCTGAAGTGGACACAACTTCCCTTCGGCAGTTAGGAAAATAAGCATTGGCTCATGGCCCTGGACAAGAAATCAAGGAGAGACCCAGCTGAGACACCACACACTCGCCTCTCTTCTGATCCGTGTGTGAGCTCCTGTGCTCCATTGGATCGCTTTTGAGTGACTGCTTTTCACAGCAGATCTCTTTGGGGGAAGGGGAGACGATTATCTCAGAAAGACAAAGCTCAGAGAGCCCTGTTTCAGATCGTCACACGTCCTGACTCCTCCGCGGCACTTACACAACTGTAATTACATATTTATTTGTGCGACTCTCTGTATGATGTGTGTGTCACCCATAGGCGTCTTTTAGGCAGGAAAACTGTCTTGCTGGCTTCTGTATTCTCTAGCACAGCACCTCGTGCACAGTACATGCTCAGTAAATATTTAATGAATGATGACTGCAGTGCACTTGGAAGCCTAGAAAAACGGGGATGTTTTCTAAGCTCCATAGAATATTTTTCCACTTAAAAAATTGAAAACACTACCCAAATGAGCCGAGTATTTTGGCAACCACACTGATTACTTGTTCCTGTTCTCTCATAACGCAAGGACTGCTGCAGCAGAACCATCTGTCAGGTAGAAAAGGATCCTGGGACCAGAGTGGATTTGCATTCAAATCTATTACAATTAGGTCCTTCTGTTGGAGTCACGCTAGAGTAGGTTATTGACAGTAGCATCTACTGGTCTGTGCCCTCTGCTCAAAGGGGGGCTGGATCTTCGCAATAACTGCCTGGAACCCACCCAGCAGCTCCTCCAAAGAAAGACCAGGTGATCTGCTCCCACAAAGACTGCAGCCTAGAAAACCCTACGGGGCAGTTCTACTCTGTCACATGGGTCCCCGTGAGTTGAAATCAACTTGACAGCACCTAACAATAACAGTTCAAATCCACCAGCCACTCCTCAGAAGGAAGGTTGGGTAATCTACTTCCATAGTGATACTGCCTCGGAAACCCATGGAGGGGTCGCTATGAGTCGGGTCTAACTCGACAGCACACAACAACAACAACAATATATTACGCAGAGCTCTGGTAGCGTAGTGCCTAAGCCACTTGACTGCACACCAGAAGGCTGAGTGTTCAAAACCACCCGCCACTCCTCGGAAGGAAGGTTGGGTGATCTACTTCCGTAGTGATACTGTCTCGGAAACCCAAGAAGGGGTCTGACTCAATGGCACACAACAACAACATTATATTAAGCAAGGAGCTCTGGTGGCGTAGTTCCTGAGGCATTTGGCCGCTAACCGTGCTCCTCAATGCCACACTTTGCCACAGCAGGACAGCACTGCCTAAGCACTCTGGGGATGCTCCACATTCTTGGAATTCTCTCAACTTATTTTCCCTCGTGGAGCTGCCCAAATAGGGACACATCTAGAGCTTGTTTACAGAGCTCCACGATTGTCCTGCAGGCCCCAGGAACCGGATGGAGGCTGGCAGCAGGCCCACTTTGAGACAGGGCAGGAAAGGTCAGGGACAATTGCAGAGGTCATGCCCCTGAGGGGCTCTGGCGCTTCTGCCAGACAGACAGTCAGGAGGGCAGGAGCCCAGGGTAGAAATAAAGCAAGAACTCTGGGGCCAGACAGCTAGGCAGGGAGCTGGGAATAAACAGAGGTGGAAGGTCAAGGCAAGCCGCAGAATGAAACCCAAGGTGCGGAGAACAGAGGTCAGTCAGCGGCGCAGCACTGAAGATGGAGACAAGGCCAAAAGTCAGCAGCAGGACATCCGGAAACTGAAGTGGCTAATAATGCAAAGTGGGCGGCGAGAGGGCCCGGTCCATGGGGATGAGAACCCTGAGCTTCTGACCACCTGGGCAAGTGTCTGCCTGCAGGCACCTCTTCCAGACCAGGTGGAGGCAGGAGGGCTACACAGTTTGCAGGACCAAGAGTAAAATGAAGGCTCTCTCATGGTGTAATGGTTCAGTGCTCAGCTGCTAACCAAACAGTTGGTGGTTCAAACCCATCCAGCGGTTCCATGAGAAACAGACCTGGCAATCTGCTTCCGTAAAGATTATAGCCTAGGAAATTCTATGGGCAGTTCTACTCTGTGGCATGAGGTAGCTATGAGTCAGATTCCATTTGACAGCACCTAACAACAACAGTGAAAAATGACAATGCAGGGCTGTTGTTCAAAGAATATTCAGAATTTTAAGATGGTGACAGCAGAGCACCGAACCAAGTGTGGGGCTCTCCTGCACAGGGACTGCTCAGGTCACATGTTGTGGAAGCTGGCCTCGAGTGGAGGATCCAGGGGCTTGGCAGGTGTGGAGGGAGGGATAATGGTGTACCACGGATGAGCATGAGCTGTAAGGCCTGGTTTGATTCCTACCGGCCACCTTGGGTAACGGCTAAATCCCTCTGGGCTGGTTGTGTCGTATGAAAAACAGAAATAATTGACCTCTCTTATTAAGGGACCATTCTCTGGAGAAGGATATCATGCTTGGTAAAATGGAGGGTCAAAGAAAAAGAGGAAGGCCTTCAACAAGATGGATTGACACAGTGGCTGCAGTGATGGGCTCAGGTACAGCAAGGATTGTGAGGCTGGCACAGGACCGGGCAATGTTGTTCTGTTGGACATAAGATCTCTATGAATCAGAGCCAACTCAACGACACCTAACAACAACAACATTAAGCAGCTAGGCTGTGGGGACGTAATGAAATCAGCAACGCTTCTAAAAGCCACATTATGCCAAACATCAGGTGCAATAGAGTGGGTTCCCACACCCATCAGCTGAGTTTCCAACCCCTGTCACCATTTCTGAGCTGTAGGCCCTGAACAGGTCACCTCCTCTCTTGGCCGGCTTCTTCAACCATGAAACAGCACTCTTTACTTCATCAAGTTGTTAACTGAGCTGTTGCTAAGTGTGAAGCACTTAGCTCAGTGCCTGGCACACGTGAGCTTTTAGCAAACATCAGATATTAGAGTGGTCCTTGCCCGCCACCAGCTCTAGTCACACAAGAGGCCACAAGAAGAAAGCCATTTGCCCCTTAATAGGAGTTTACAAAGAAGTCCAGGTGGCAGAAGGTTGGTGGTTCAAACTCGCCAGCTGCTCCACAGAAGGATGATGGGGCAGTCTACCTCCATAAAGGTTTACCACCTTGGAAACCCAATGGGGATCACTAGAAGTTGGAATCAACACAATGGCAGTGAGTTTGGTTTTTTTTAGTTAGAGTTTATGGGGCTTCCAACACCCCTTCTGCTCTGCCTCCTAAATTTTGTACTCCCTTTCTTTGGCTTCCCTTCCCTATACATTCCTGGGGCAGCTAAGCTTGCAGCCACTGACGCCAACGTCTTATTAGGAAGGAACATCTACTTGTGACCACCAACGTAAAGAAATTTATTGTCAGACAGAACATCTGGCAATACCTCCAGAGGGGAGCTGGCCACCTGTATTGGTTGACAGCCAGTCTAGCCTGGCTCAGAGCTGACCACCTGTACCAGTTGGTAGCCGGACTAGCCTGACTTGGAGTTGAGCACCTGTACTGGTTGACGGCCAGACTAGCCTGGCTCAGAGCTGACCACCTGTACTGGTTGATGGTCAGACTAGCCTAGCTCGGAGCTGACCACCTGTACTGGTTG